TCCCCGATGTATAACTGGTCGCAGTCCTCCTGGCACTTAACAGCATATACAACATTGCTCTGTTTGTGCCGGGGCACCGGATCTATCGGATTACCCGTCCAGAAGACCTATACAATTTTTTTTCTTTTTGATTATTTACCTGGATTACTGAGATGCATCAGGATATACATACTAATGTTAATGAGTTGAACAAATATAGAATTTATATAAGTAATTTATTCATAGCAATGTTTTTAAATGTTGGCATAAGTGATTGAAAGTAGATGTCAAACTCCGAAGGCCACATGAGTGTTACAGCTGCCCTCAAAGGGCCAGCTGTTATTAACCTAAACATTTCCTTGTCTCACTGCTACAGCTGAGCACCACTAACAATAACTGAGCTCTGTGTGGTATTTCCTGCATAGAAACAGTGTTTTTTAACAGATCCTCTTATAAACACTGAAAAGTACTACCTGTACGACTGACTAAATGTGAAATAAAAAAAGAATAAAGAATAAAATAAAAAGAAAGGCTAATAAAAGTAAAAGTAAGAGAGTTTTACTCGAGTTGTGAGTAGCTGGCGCCTTGATTCCTGAACTCTCCCACTTTCTGACAGTGAATTCCCACTGGAGGGGCGTTCCAGTTCAAATATACGATTTATAAGTGTGAAATTCCCACTTCCCAGTACAAAGGGTCTGCAGCAAAAATAGCTGGTGAAAATACAGCAAAATGGAGATTGTACATGGTGAATCTTTGTCCTGAACCCTGTGCAGCTCCACGCAGTGGTGGGATGCTATCATTTTGCAAGTAAAATAATCAACATGCGTTATGGAGATGTAGTTTGTGGTCAATGCTGGCTTTAAAGCTGCATGTGGTTATTTTAAGACTAATGCATCTTTGAAGCTCTCGTGGGCCACGTAAAAGATAGTGGTGGGTCACAAGTGACCCACAGACCTTCAGTTTGACATGTGTAAAAGGACTTTAAAGTGTCTCGTAATTGTGAAGTGGAAGGAAAATGATGCATGGTTTTCAAAACATTTTACAAATAAAAATCTAGGAGGTGGCATTTGTGTAAATAATTAATCTGGTCCACCTTTATGTAATTTCATTTCAGTAAGAATACAGCAGATATGTAATGCCTTCTGAACTTTTGGCCTAACCAAAAATAGTTCCATCTTACTTTAATACTCTAATCATTATTAATATAATCTTTCATAACTGTTATTATAGCTACTGAAGTACATTATGACCTGACTTAAAATAATGTCAACGTTTCAGGAAGACTGCAGAAGGTCGGCTTTGTTTACAGATATCCCTCAGCCACTCCTCGATGCTGCCTGAGGTCACAGCCTGCAAGCTGGTCTGACAATATATTACCGAATAAGAAAAGCTTAAAGCACCATAAAATCAATATATTTTTGCATATAATCAGTGTGTTTTTGAAATTAAATGAGAAGTGGGAAGCCCCCTTATGTTACTCAGAATTGTATTCTAAGTATGAGAAGCATGACAGGAAAAAATAACCTGACCCACAGCAGTTTTCCTAACTGGTATTGAACAATCACCCTTGTTCACTCACTCACTGGTATTTTGAAACAACCAAACAATGTGCTATAAATTAGCTTGAAATGATTAAGGACAGCATAATAACAGGATTTCTACACAGTCTTGAGAAGTTTGTGATTTATTGTTTATGTATTTCATGTTTGGACAAGTGCACACTAAGACCTGCAGTGTTATTTGATGAGGTTGGAATAAGCGGTTAGGTCATTGCTTGTGTAAAGGCCACTCCATTGTTTTAACTACACACACCTGTTTGTGGGCACTACAGATTTTATATTTTATACTTTGAAGTTTCACAGTATTACAGTTTTTGTGTTTTTCTGTATTTCTTGTTTAGTATATAGTAGTTAARTTTTAATCAATAATACTTTACAGGAAAAGTCCAGACTCTCATCCTCCACTGGTGCGGTGAGATTGATATCTTTATCAAAGTGCCATGTTACACATTAGACTATGTTATTCATGGTCTTGTATTGGTGCAATTTAGAAAGGTCTCATTATTTTATTATTTATTCTATTCTCTTTGTATTAATATAGTAATTACTTTTATTTACAGATTTTATATTTTATACCATGAAGTTGCACAGTATTACAGTTTTAATGTTTTTTATGTGTCTGCTTATAGTAAAATTAAAAAAAAAAATCAAAATTGCATTCTGAGTGAGGGTCAATGCGGGGG